GGAAAGAGTTGGCGTGGGGAAGTTTTTAGGGTCAAGTTGACACGGAGAAGCTGTTTTTCTTTTTGCGCTGTCAGTTTTTGTCACAGTGTGAAGAGCAGAGGGCGCCCGGAGCTCAGAAACGCTGGCGAACGACTCCGGGCCTTCTGGAGTTCTGTCCTTGCCCTGGAAGAAGCGGGCAGGGATGGGCAGGGATCCCCTGCACCCTGGCAAGGCCCGTGCGAAGCTGGCATCAAGACTCCATCCTTCCTCGAAACGCTTCAAGCACGGAACAGAAGGAAGACAGAAACAAGTGCAAAAATAAATACTGATTTCCCCCTTCTCTAGGCAGCGGATTTCAGGCTTTATGAGGTCTCCTCTGAATCTCTCTGGCTGTATTTAGGCCCCCAAATTCCTGTCCTCTTTGCTATAGGCATGGGAAACCGTGTGATCCCTTCCTCTCTCCAGCATCCTTCACACCCTGATGAATCTCCCCATCTCCTCCCTTCTCCCTACATCCTACCTGTGAGCGGTCCCACTTTGATTATGCCACCTGAATTTTTGCCCTGTTCCTCAAAAGCCAGGTGTTGAAATTTGACTGTATTGTCAACCTTTTATCTCATTTGTGGTAATCACAAATGATGGGGCCTGTGGGATCCTGGGAACTACAGGCTTGTCAGCCTGACCTTGGTACCAGGGAAGATTACGGAGCGGTTTGTGTTGAGTGCACTCACCGGGCATGTGAAGGACAACCAAGGGACTGGGCCCAGCCAGCACGGGTTCATGAAAGGCTGGTCCTGCTTGACCAACCTGATCTCCGGTCTATGGCCAGGTGACCCGCCCAGTGGAAGAGGGAAAGGCTGTGGGTGTTGTCTACCTGGACTTTTGTAAGGCCTTTGACACTGTCTCCCACACCAGCATCCTGGAGAAACTAGGTGCCCATGGTTTGGATGGGTGTGCTCTTCGCTGGGTAAAAAGCTGGCTGGATGGCCGAGCCCAGAGAGTGGTGGTGAATGGAGTTAAATCCAATTGGCAGCCGGACACGAGTGGTGTTCCCCAGGGCTCAGTTTTGAAGCCAATCTTGTTTAATATCTTTATCAGCGATTCTGGATGAGGTGATCGAGTGCTCCCTCAGTGAGTTTGATGCCAAACTGGGCAGGAGTGTTGATCTGCTTGAGGGTGGAAGGCTCTGCAGAGGGATCTGCACAGCCTGGATCAATGGGCCGAGGCCAACTGTATGAGGTTCACCAAGGCCAAGTGCCAGGTCCTGCAGCTGGGTCACAGCAACCCCATGTAACACTGCAGGCTTGGAGAAGAGCAGCTGGAAAGCTGCCTGGGAAAAAAGGACCTTGGAGTGCTGCTTGACAGCCGGCTGAACAGGAGCCAGCAGTGTGGCCGGGTGGCCAAGAAGGCCAACGGCAGCCTGGGCCGGATCAAGAACCCTGTGGGATGGTGAAGGGTCTGGAGAACAAGTCTTAGGAGGAGTGGCTGAGGAAACTGGGGTTGTTTAGTCTGGAGGAGACTGAGGGGAGACCTCATTGCTCTCTACAACTACC